ACACGAGACCGGCGTTTCCCCACACAAAAAAAAAAAAAAAAAAAAAAAAACCCTCTTGAAACACCCTCAAGTCCACACTCCCACACTCTGTCTGAGACCCATATGATCCTGTGATGACACATATGCTAATCAAAGAGCACATTGGTGGCTTTGACAGTTGAGGTTTGGAAAATACTTAAAAGTTCATGTTGCAAAAGAATGGAATAGTTATGTAACGATTCGCTAAGTGTGATTACATCTTCATCCATCCTTATACCCGTGCTCGGTAAATAGGCGCAAGAAGAGGTCAAGTAATGTAAGGTGCATGCGTAAAGTGTGTTACTCATTCTGAGACTGTACCCTTGTCCAGTCACTAACTTGCTGTTTGTGAGAAAAAGGACTGGAAGCGAATCAAAGTACAGGAATGATCCAGTTCACACATTATAAAAACGGTAAAGTACTTAAGTTGACAGCAGTTTGAAGGATGTGTGAGCAGGCATCTGCCTCTCCTCCTTCCATCCTTTCAGGAGGTTCAGGAGACCAGCCAGAGCCAAGAAAGGCCTAACCCAGCCACCTAATCCTCTATTCCCATTCACTATCACTGCTAATCTCCACCACCACCTCCTCACCACCAAAACTATCGCCTCCGCCTCGAACTCAAGAGAAGCATAAAAGCCTTAAGAAGCCCCGTCCCGCCCATGCCTACCTTCCCATCCCTTCCCGCACCCCTAACGTACTCCGCCCATCCTTCCAACTGCAGGAGGCGCCCATCTTTTTAAGACCAGGACCCAGAAATCCCACGGGGCAACAGGTTTTTGGTTGAAGCCAAAGACTCATTGAGTGCCGGATAACTCTCTCTCAGACTTCAGCTCCCTTTCTTATTGTTGGTGCTTACTTGACACAAAATGAGTTTGAATTTGAATGTGCCAGATGACAGAGAGAGACAGAACAATATGAACTCGTGGGCGGCATCCGGGCATTGGCATTGTGTACCAAAAGCTCTGCAATAATTATAATAATAATCATAATAATAATCATAATAAACTGTAAATATTACATTAAATTACATTCAGACCACATCATCCAATATTATAGCTGAGCACCAATGATTAAATATTTGTTAATTTCCAAATTGACACTAGAATTTAAGTGCGGATCTTTCAAATGCATTTGGTTCGCTATTGATTAAAAATAAAGCCAAGACAATTTGGTGTATAAGTATCTTTTCAATGGAAATTGCATAGCAAATAGAAAAATTCATATTGTAAAAAAAGAATGAAATATACATTTGAGCAAAAATGGCAAAAATCATGAATATGTATAATACAAAGTCTTTTGCCTTTCTCTTGTGTCATTTGAAGCTACAAGACCATCATTCAACCAAAAAACTTTCACACTTCAAACGTTAGCTAGTATGTGAACAAAAAAAGAAAAAAAGATTTGATGGCCAGGAAGTGTTTTGTATCCTAATATTTGGGGTAGTTATGATTTGAAAAACTATATTAGTGACTTGACTGCAACTTTGTGTAACCTCACCAGAGACTGAGGACCTGTACAGTAATACCCAAACAATAGTGAGTGGTCGTGCGTCTGCAGTCCAGCTCTATCTACCACAGTGGAGGTGAGCGCCTCAGCCCAATGGACCCCTCAATGCTGCCTCTATGCCTTTTATTTACTGAGGCTATCTTTCCCATAAGTCACTTTTCCTGTATTCATAAAGCATCATGGACCCCATAACTCACACTTCCCCTTTATGAATAAATCCCATAAATTTCGGGTGATGGTGTTGAGGAGCTGTGGCCTCTCGGGTGACAAACTTCCCTCGATCTGTCAAGACCAGCTCCAGCCGCTCGGGGCTCTTCATCAAGCGCTCCAGATGGGAGCTCCACTTTATCGTTCCCCGGTCGGTGACATCACCTCACCACGCCGGATTTGATGATGAAAGCAAACATCTCTGTCTTAACTCACATTTGCCAAATCAATTTTGTTTTCACAGAGCTTCCAAAAGGGCTTATTGGCATATTGACGGTGGGAAGGCGGGAGAGGTGCTGGCAATGGGCAAGGGATGGGCATGAGAAGGGGGGGTGGTGGGGGGTCCAAGAGGCCTTAATAGCATTTACCACATTTAATGCAGGGATGTCATCACTGAATATCCATTCTGAATAATGTGCATTTCATCATAAATTCTTTACAACTTATTTACTTAATGGAAAGACTTATGGTTCGCTGTCAAGATGGTAATTAAACATTGTGATACAGTGCTGCCTCACCAAGATCCCATCTTTCCCTCAACCAGCCTGCCCCCACACCTCACAACCCCATCTCCCGCTTTCACATATACAGACATATGGTGGTCCCTCTGCTCTTTTCATGCTTATTATTATTGAAGTACCTTATGAATTACTGCTGGATTTTAATTCATGATGATTTTTTTTTTCTTTCCCAGGGAAAAACAAAAATCGAGGCAGCATTCTTCACATAATAGCACGGTAGATATCCTGGCAGGGAGAGAGAGGGAGTGAGAGAGAGAGAGAAGCTGTTTTGCATTATTGTTTGGGTCATGTTTGAAATTGGCAAAACTGAAGGATTTTATGTGAAGACACTGAGGATGATGTCTCACTCTGCAGTTAAAAACAATACAAGTACGGAGTGGAATAGTTGTCTGGAGTGGAAAAGGGGAACATTATTTTTGTTGGAGCTAAACTAAAGCCACAAAGTTGAGACTAATGGTCTATTGATGCGATGTCAATGAGAACCAAGCAGTCCACAGCCAATTGTTTTTTTTGTATACACTCCAAAATAAAAAAAATAGTTATGGGGTTAACATTGAAGGAAGTCTGCAAGGTTAGTTATCTCTCTCTCTGTAATATATATTGATTAATGTGTTGATTATTGTTAATTAAATTTCCATGCCTTTATCAGAAAGAGGAAATAATTTAAAATCAGTGTAGAAAATACTTAATAAATTAATTATTTTAGTTACTGGTTTGGTTCGTATCATGTTGGCAAAAATGTTGATCATTGCTTTCCAAAGTAAAAGTGAATGTTTACAGATGTCTTTCGTCTGCTTTCATGGAGCACCGCAGGAACTGTTAAAAGGCTGAAATTCCAAGGATTTGGACAATTTAAAGTTAAGCATCTCGAAATGAAGTATAGATTATCAAAAATTTCTAATGCGAAAGAGAGAGAGAGAAAGAGAGAGAGAGAGAGCGAGAGAGCTAGAGAGTGGGAGAGAGCGAGAGCGAGAGAGAGAGAGAAAGAGAGAGAGAGAGAGAGAGATATCCAACCATTCGTGCGGTGTGCTGGAGCCTTTCACAGCTGACTTTGGGACTTTGTGCAAGAGGCGGGGTGAATCCTGAACCGGTCGCCAGCCAATCGCAGAGTCCATATAGAGAAAAAAAACATTCACACTCACACCTATGGGCAATTTGGAATCTTCACCCTAAGCGTGTTTCTGGAATGCGGGAGGAAACTGGAGTAACACAGAGTAAACCCATGCAGGCAAAGAGAGAACATGCAAACTCCACACAGGAAGGACCCGCAACCTCGTAACTGTCAGGTGGATGTGCTCACCAGTCATTCACCCTGCTGTCCTACATAATAAGTGTGTGTGCATGAGTGTGTGTGCACTTGTGTGTGTGTGTGTGTGTGTGTGTGTGTGTGTGTGTGTGTGTGTGTGTGTGTGTGTGTGTCTGATTTCCAAATGGGAGGGAGTCTATCCAAGAAAACTAGGTGAAACTTAGACCCTTCCTCCACCTACATAAAACCAAACCGGTCTGACAATGACCTTTGACCTTTTCCTGTGACCCTATCTTCGATTTGCTCTGTCGTCTGACCAATACGTGATTTGCCAATGGCCGCACTGGGTCCCTAACAAGGATTTATGGCATTTCATTTTAATTGAGTTAAGAGCACAACCTCATCTGCTCTGCTTTCAATGGTTTGAATTAAACTCTACATCCGTGTGAAACGGGAATAACCACCTGGTGGTGCACAGGGCTAGACGTGAACATGGTGAAATGGGAGGAAATAAGACGACAACTGCACTAGCCAAGTATGTATGTGATTTCTCTGTTGCTTCCGCTGCACAAAACAAAGAGGAAATAATCACAGCTGGCAAAGTGCTTCGTAACACATTCGCTCAAATCGACGGTGTCTGTCAACCATGAAAGAACTGTTCCTCCAACAAAATTTGAGTCAACACATTAGCTCTCTCAACATTTTACATTTCGACGGACTTGTTTTCCTACCTGCCAGCCTTGAGTTGGGTCTTTGAGAGAAAGTGTTCGCTCGCCAAGGTACGGTCCAAAGCGTTCACCGATGTAAAGGCTCCTGCGACTCCAGATGCCAAGAGCACCTCTTAGAACAGCTGACTGTTGCAATTCAAAGTCCAGAGGAATGGTCAAGTTTTCTTGAGGTAAGAATATGTTCGTTGGTTGTTGTTGTTGGATGGATGCAGGTCTATGAGGTGACACTTCTTCTTCAGACAGCGACAGGGACGACGGGTCCTCTGCCGGGCCCGAAGACGGTACAGGATCACCATCTGAGCCACAAGCATCATCTAAGACGTCAGTAGGTTGACCAGCGTACTTGTCATCTCCATCATCTGCTCAAGTGAAACACAACAATAATTCTTGTGAGGGCAGTGATCGGCAAAAGATCGTGTGTTGCATTAGAGCATTTGAGTAATTTATGCAATACAACAAAGTTCCCCATTAAAAAGTCTCCTCAGCACGACATATAATGTCACAAAGGTGTCGTGTTGAGTGGGTGTACTATAATTACCTTGATTGTGTTTAAATGGCGGTTATGACTAATGAACTGAAAGATGGAGGGAGCACCAACATCTTAATAAAAATGTTTTTTTTTCTTTCTATCTCACCATGACTGCATGACATAATGTTCTCAAGACAAACCACGCCTTAAATATTATACTGCGATGTGAAATAGCTTAAGTTTGCAATTTCAAAACAAATACTGCACATGGAATGCGAGAAACAGGATCAAGTGTTTACGGCATTGAGATGGGGTGATACCAGGGCGAGTGAGCAGAAGTAACTGGGCATTGTATTGCTCTGACTGTTTTATATTTCCTTTTCCTGAACTTGATCTTTGTCATACAGTGAAAACAGAAGGAAGCGTACAGGGGTTAATTATGAATATGGTGAAACAGGACATGGGAAATAACCTTTCAACTCACACAGGGCTTCTTCAGCATGACATTTGGGTGCATTACATTTTTATTGTGACTTTGTTTCTTTCATTTTAAGGTATTCATCATCCAGCAATGGAAAATGTATTTATTCCAAATATAAAGTGTCTTTGAAAGAATATAAAGTGCGTCTAACATTTGACAAAAGACTCAAGGAGAATAAATAAAATGATAGGTGACAAGCACGGCAACAATAGATGAACAGAATTGCATCGTTTTCCATGGGCGCTACATACGTTGACTGGTAACTTGTTTCCAGGCACAAATCACAGGTCTGAATCAGACTAAGGAATCAGCACATGCTGATCATGCCCAAATGGTTTAGATTGCCAATTCGGGATGGACTTCTCGATGACAGGGACGGGCCCATTATATCCGTTGTGTATCAAACCTAAATTCCAAAGTTTTGGTCCGGCTGTTAAATTCTTCCACATTGAACTCGTCCAGGCACACCTTTGTGGAAATTCCTTACCCTACTACAAAAAGTCTTTCTGGAATCAGAAAATCACATTCTCTAATTGTTTGTAGAGTATAATATTCTCTCTGTAAGATTCAATGCATGTCACGGGTCCACTGGTGGTGTCTTTATCAACCCCAAATTTAGTAGGTAATTAGATCACCAATTTACGGCTTGTTGACAGATTTTTCCATCAATTCCTCCTGATACCACAGTGCTCATAAATCTGACTGGAAATTGGGTTTCCTTTGAAATTCCTTTGACATTTTTGGGAAATAAAACATGGACGCCAATTAAGCGATAATCAAAAATCAGCGGGAAACAGATTTGATGATTTCTGATGAACAAGGTAAATAGTGAAAGGAGGAGACACTCAAATACGGAAATGATCCACAGGAAGTGGTCACTCCCTGGTGTGCATCTGTGGTGAGCTGTGCCTAATACGGGCTGACAGACTGCAGAGTGCTAATGAGGCTCAGCAACCCATCTCTGGGCTCAGGAACATTCCTGAATGACTGCTGATGTGACACTGCCTCACTGTGTGGTAAGCCGTGGAACCTTTAATCCGCACAAGGATACAAATGCATTACTTGTTCACCGAGCATGAAGCAACTGCTCTTCTGAATGACTGGAAAGATCACTGTGATCCGCCAAAAGTGTCTTTGACCTCCACTGCCAAAGCCCAACTGGATACCTGAACAAAATCTCTCACTTTTAATAAATCACACGCTGACATCGACGCATTGAGCTTGTGTACCGTATGTTTAGGAAATGGTTAAGCGAAGCAAGACGAAACCAAACTATCTGTGAAACGCTTGTGTTCATCACATTTAATGCGTTGTTGGAAACAGAAAGCTAGCTCCAGCATGAAACCGACTGGCCCTCAAAAGAAGTCAGCCTAATGACTTTCAACACACTGTGTGTAACACGGTTATAGTCCTGGATGTGAAGCTTACCATATGGTAGAGGGAAAAGAGCTTTTATAGGTGTGTCCCCGCCATAGCTGTTCCTCCCTTGACATTTCCCCCTGCGATCCTGGTCTCTAAGTTTAGATTTGATTTAGACCAGAAATTTCCTTGGTCCACTGGTCTCAGCAAGAGCGTTCTGACCCATAAACATAAATGTGTATATCGGTAAGGTAAATATTAGCTGGAAGCAAATACTTTAGGCTAAAAGTTGGGCTTCCATGTGTAGATAAGGCAAGAGCTCAGACACAGAAGGTGGTAAATACTCACTCGAATGAACGCATCAGTTTGTATGTGTGTCAGCCTCGATCTCTCCTGAGAGAGATCGAGGCTGACACCCTTTTATCAAAAAGATAATTCCAAGTAGAGAAGTTGAACTGCATCTAAGATAGCTGCATGTGGAAACTGACAGCCACCACAATGCAGGAAGAACAAAAGTGACAAATAAAAGCTTGCATACTGAACCAAACACGTTTAAAGCTAAATAAGGAACATTCCATGATTTCCTTTTCCTCCTCGTGCTAACTGATTCTTAAGATGTGTCAATCACTGAAAATACTGGGATAAGAATGCAAAACAAATGCAGCATTTTGAGAAACTCAGTCATTTATAGTATGTACGCTAAAAGATAGGACTCCCAGTATTTCAATGTCTTATAAAGTATATTTTAAAAATAACTGCATTCATATCATACATTTGCATTTGATGCCAAATTCATCCATTTTTATTAAGAAGAGAAACAGTTATTCACAGATCTACTATCTGCATGGGTGGAATGATTTTCACCCCTGCCACAAGGTGTAGGGCGCACTCATAGATCACACGATTACCCGAGCCGCGAGGAGGGCTGCCATCATCAGGGAGTGAATTCAAGATGATAGAAAGAGCTATTAATCACTGTGACAAAGCCCCTAATGGAGGTGTGACCCAGCCACTGCCGACGGGGCGCACCCACGGGACAAATGGATACATATGTTTACAGAGCCAAATAACCTACCTGTGGACGAGAGGGCCACCCCCACCCTCTTCAGCACTGTCCTTTTTGCTGTCCCCATTGCATTTTCTTTCTCTCTTACGAAGCCACTTATGTTATCTGTTGCTTTCATTTTGTCAGTGTAATGATTATATTTCATTAAGAGCAAGTTGGTCATCGGTCAGAATAAGCTCAATGATTTGAGTTGTTTCGCAGTATGCCTTGATGCATTGATAAATCAAAGATGGTTTCTTTTGAAATTACAGTATCATGTTTTTGTTTTTTTTAATTTTCCTTTCAGCCCATTCTTGGAACTGAAGAAGTTGACACTGGAGATACAAGATGCAACATTGTGAGGACCTAATTCACACACCCTACCTGACATCGAGAGAAAGCGGGTCCACCTATTGATTGATGGGGTTTAAGATCATGAAATATGACCTCCTTGACCAATGAGGATGGACCCTCATGTTCATTTGCAGATATCATTTATTACCTGTGAATGCAGATAACAAGAAGAGGGGTGGTGTGTGCCTACTGCAAAACCTAATCGCGCATTTTCCCCTCCATCAGTCAGAATCATAATTTTGAACCTGCACTCTTCATCATTTTTTTGACTGCTCGTTTATCTGTGTGACTGGAAAACCATATAATGTCTCCATCTGAAGGGCAGAGTTGGATTTACCATCAGGCGACCACAGGCAATTGAGTGATTGAGATTCAACAAAAAAAATACGTTTATGAGAACTGTTCATTTCTGAAATTGTGCCTGTGAGCAGACCGTTCTGTACTTTTACAAAACAGTGGGACTAATTGACATAATAACCGCCTTAAATAGAGTTTCTCAGCCAAAGCTGGACAACGTTCCAAAGAATTACTTTCAAGCGGTGGCTGAAAAAACTATGTTAAAGCCAAAAGGTAGGCAGAGTCACAAAAATGTAATCATTGTCTTGGCCGCAAGCTTGTTTTCCACACTCTGGGCTTTGCCTCTGGAAGCAGAAGCGAGGCAGAAGAGGAGACGGCTAAACACCGTCTGGAACGTACCGGTGATCCAGCCCACTGCTTGTCGGTCTCCTGAAAAGTAGACTTTCGATTGGCCAGGCACTATGTGAGCCAGGATTGTGGCTTGAACACTTTCATGAGATGGCTGGCTCCTGAAACAGCTTGATATTTGCAAGAAAGGAAAGAGGGTGTATAAAAATAAAAAGAAAGTCTTGATTCTTTGGGTATTTTGAGGCAAATATGCAACATGCATGTTATTATGACACTCTCGTGATCCTGTTTCTATTTGTCTCCAGTAGGTGGCATATGTCTGTGATCATGCCTCGCTCCCAGCTGCCTTTACAGATGCTGCCGCGCCGACAACTGGCTGTCAGATTATTAAACCTCGCTCACAACTCTGCTTCCAAGTGATTCAATATTGTAGATGTACTTGATTTCTGCCTCGTGGTTTTGACACGTAGTTCATTGTGTTTCTCTTGGTAGGATATTTTCATTACAGTGTCGTCTCGGTTTTGTATTCTCATGCTTTGGATTTTCTGGGCAGGCAATTTACATTTTCTTGTTGCTTGCCTTTTTGCAAGCGCTTTTCGTTGGTTTCGCATTTTCCTGGTTCTTTGTTACCAGCGTCCTTAGTTGTATTTTTTTCTGTCGTGCTTGTTAATAACCATATTTTTGACATACACGCTTAACTTTGTCTACCTTTGTGAGATCCACTCCTATCCAGATTATTTTGGAACATAACCGACGCGAGAGACGTGTTTTTAATTGTGAAACAAATTGCATATGATTCCTTCAAGACAGTTTTAAGTTGAGCCAATTGGTGACCAACGTTCACTGCAACACAACAGGACTGAGTTTGAGCCAAAATAAGTTGAAATATGTGTGGCAAATTGACAATATTATCATTTGAGTGGGCATGAAAAAATGAGGATAACCTCAGGAAAGGTGTAGACCTCTCTGAGAAATAACTCAAATTGGCCCAATCCAAAACAACATA